GAGTTGATATCCAAGACCACAGGATCCCAAGTGCTTGTAGTAACAGTTTGTTTCGTTTGCAAGTTTCAGCAGTCCTAAAACTGAAATCGACCCGGACTCTAAACTCTCCCACTGTCTGTCTCCAAGTGCCTCCAAAGCCCACTGTGACATCATTCTCCCAAACCTTAAAGGCACAGTACAACCAGAGCACAAGAATACACAGCTTCCCTTTGAAGGGCAGGAGAGGAAAGTTACTAAATCATCACATGTTTATTCCAGGTTAACTGACCTTCTATTCTGAAAGTCCCTTACAAAAGAAGCATCAATCAAAGGGAAACTATACGACTGTAATAATGATAACTGATGATAATTACCTTTGAAGGGGGTGGGCTATTTTGGTACTTCTAATAGAATTTTTTTGTAATGAATTATTATTAAATTCCAGGTAAGGGATAAATCTAGTATTCAAAAAAGTGTTCAGAATCTGTTCTTAAAGAATTAATGCGACTGCCTGGGGCCAATATCTAATCTGATGTAAATTGGAGTAGCTCCCCTGACTTCAGCTGATTTACACCACTTGAAACAGCCTGCAGAATATAAAAATTAAGGTGTAAAGCACATGCATCGGATGAGGGGGAAGAGGTTATAGAACTATGGCCTAAGCTAGCAGACTATCAGTTCCTTGAGTAAGGGTTTTTAAGGTAGGTTCCCTGTTTAAAATCTAGATTCGGTAGGACTGAGGAAATGGAAACGTTGAAACTGCTCTTCCATAGCCAATTAACACCTAGGAAGCTTTACTGCAGTCAAGAAAAGGCTAGGAATGACTGAAGTAGGATTTTGGTTCAGTAGGTCAGATGAAAGCAGGTGTACCTAGAAACTTTAAGTGTAACAGTGTAAGTGTCTGCATTATCTAGTGTTTGTCTCATAGTTTTGACTGCCTCTGGACAACGGAAATCTAAAAATATGAAAAGTAGCTCTTTGTCCTCTATTAAATTGCTTGAAGTTAATTCTGCTAGCAAAGGCCATTGTTAACAGCCAAGTGGCATACAATATCCTTGGTGCAGAAGGGAGAAAGGGAATCTTCCAGGGGATTGCCCTGCACCCAAAGAGCCTTTCACGGTGGAGTAGTTTATGGGATGAACTATACACATGTTCCCACTGCATATGGCTGAGCAGAAAATTTTCCATCCAAACCATTTTTGGACAGAAAACTCGGTTCATGACTCAGTGGAAAGTGGTGCCTCAGGATTGCTTTTGAGGTTTTTTTCCATAAGAAAATTAATGTTTGAAAACTAAAATGTTCTGGCTGGGGAAAACAAAAAAAATGGGTATGTTGTAGTACTTGAATTTTCATTGAAACTGAAAACTTTTCCTTAGGACTAATCCTCCCATTTTTCAATCAGCCATAAAAGGAACTTCAAGAACAATGCCTCCTTCAATTGTTTCATGCAACTCTAAAGGAAGCCCATCATTAAATGGAGCAAATGCTCACTACTTCGCAAAAATTGCATGTGGCAACTGAATAGTGTAGAGCACGGTTGCCCTCTTTGATTTGCCTCCATGACAACAGATTTTTAGTTTACAAATGTTACAATATCTTTACTTCCATATATTACTGAACTACTTGATTTCTCTGGGTGCAGTATAAAATTCCAGATAGGCTGGAACCCCTGGTGTATATGAGAGGCCATGCTTGCACTCGACCGGTGTGGAAAATCTCTTAGCTTTGTTTAATAAATACTTTCTCTTTAAGAAGGACTGTAATTCCACAAGAGGTGCTATTATATAAATGGACGCACAAAGATGTTTCTGTGAAGTTCATTGAAAATCTGACAAAGGGGTAAACTTTAGCAGGCTGCATGGTGTATCGATTAGCACTCCAGTTTCATTTAAGAGTCGCACAATTATATTTGCTCATCAAAATTTGAATGTTGGCCTGTTAAATAATCACTATTTTAGAATAACATTCATGTTACTTATATATAAGGCTGGAGATCCGCTGTTATTGAGACTTTCCTGTAAATAGATACGGCTATGGTTCTGCTCAGGCTGGGAAGCTAGGATTGAAACAGAATCTGAGATAAAGCATTACTGGAAATCTCTCTCTAAAAATACCTATTTGAATGCAGTAATACCAGTAGTTTGCAGGGAAAGTAGGTGACTACAGTCCTTGTAATAACTAGCTCCCAACAACAGATCAGATTCTTTAGATTACTGCTTCAGACCACCCCTGGAGGGGACTGGGATACCTGAAGAGAGGCTAATGGTAAAGTTTGCTTAGTGCCCTCAGTTCATGATTGCTGACACTGCTTCTCAAGTATGTTTCCACTGCACAGTCCTTCAGAGGAGCAGCAGCTTCTGGAGATGCAACAGCTAGAGCAGTTTAGTTTCACTGGCACACACTCTCAGGAGAGAATAGCAGTGTGCCATCTGCTACCCAAGTAAGAACACACTGGCATGTGTCACCTAAGGTCCAGATACTCTCTCTTCTCCTTCAGGTTGAACTATTAAAAGACCTTGGATTTAGCAGAAATTAAAGATTACACCACCTCCTGTGTACAGCTTAAGCAAGGCCACTCTCATGTGGAAAGACTGTTGTAATGATCACCACCTGAACTTTTGTCTCCTCCACCTCTCCACCCTCCATGTTCTTCCACCATGTTACTTCTAGAAAACTAACTACCATGATACAAGCTGCCCATAGATGCACAAGATATGCACAAGTGCCCAAGATCTGCCCAGTGGAGCCATCTGCAATGCATTTTGCTACCTGGTTGGGTCCATTAAACCAGCCCCACAGGGAGGCATGCCCTGGCTCCCCCTAGCTTCTGACCTGCACCACTGCAGGCATTTTCAGAATCAAAAGTGAATGTCTGTTCACTTGCTTATCGGTTCAGTTTGTGCAATTTAGACAAACCGACAAAGATTGAAGAGGTTCAGCCTCAGGCTTTTTGACTGTCTGTACTTAGCCCTACAGAGAGGCCACTGAAAGGAGGTATCATCAGTGAAGCACTGATAATCATGACACGTCCCTAATCTCATGTGTTTTTCTTCTGACAATTATCCATTGCATGTCCTTTACTTTCATCTGTGACCCTTTCCTGGCTTGGGCAATGATGAAGAATTCCAGTGGTGAAGAACATTCGGTGTTATGCTGACCTTTATTCAGGCACTTTCTTTGGCCATAAACCACTACATCAACTCTTATTTTTCCAAATTACCGGTTTGATTAGCTTATTCAATTACCTTGGCCTGCACTGCCAATATCTTTGTCGCTCAAACCCAGGAAGAGTTCATTAGGAGCAGACCTGGGGACTTGGGAGATCACTCATCATAACACTAGGAGACTTGTGCGCGATTTTATACGACCTGAAGATGTCTCCTCCCAGCCCTGCTAGGATCCAGGTATTTTCTGTGGGTCAGGGATATACGTACTGTGTGCACCAAAGCAGAATGGTCACTTCATTCCTGTCACACTCTTTAACCATCCCCAGAGAAATGCAGAGGAAGTCAGTAAATACAGTACATTTAAACATTTATTGGCCAAGCGTAAAATACTTCTGGATCACGTTTTGCTGCCTTGCAAACTGGGCTAACCTGGGATCAACTCTTCTTTGTACATTAACTTCTTTATAAAAGCATAACTGTGGCATTGAAACCTTTGGGCAAGACACTGTTAAAACAACATAAAACCTCAACTACCTAAGTGCAAAGCCTTCAGTGTACTCAGGGTCTGCAACTTGGCAGCTTTTTGCTGGACTCTGACTTAAAAATTGAGGGCATACATAAAATAAGAAAGGATTTAAACCCTGAGATGGTTACAAATTAATTTAAAGTGAAGGGAACAGGATAGCTTCATAGGCAAAGGTTAGCAAATAAATCTGGAGGGTCAGAGGACATGTAAGGGATCATGGGAGAGATTGCCAGCTCCTTAACAAATGATTATACTTCAGTGATAATGAGTTAAAACTTTGTTACAGGAGTGCTCTTCATCCCTAGTGGATAAGAAGTTGGTATATAGAAATGTGCCAGTAGATGGCACTCTGGTATATGTACAGTGTTTATTGGTTTTATAGGACCAACTTAACAGAAAGGAGGCAGTTTTGTAGGATTGTACCTCAGAGAGGCACCATTCCTTCCGGGCAACCTTCTTCCCACCTTCAACAAGGTAACCTTTTCTTGCTGCCCATAATAACACCATGAATGCCATCTGACCCTGCAAAGCCATGCCTCATCCAGTCCCTTCCACCCTATGCCCTCTGAGATAGTGTCCAGGTATTCCAGGTGAGGCCACTGATCTTTAAAGTGACATTATAACATAACCCTATTGTGTTTTACCCCGTTCCTTGTGCAGCCTTATGGGCCACACTGAGCTGAGCTTTGCATCATGCTGCCCAGAGCTGCACTGGGCTCTTTTCCTCTGGTGGCTACAGTTAAGGTAGAACCCAGTGAAGTCTTTGGGCAGCCACTGGCTTCCAAGGGAGCAGGGTCAGAGTTCTCATCCTCTGAAGAGTCTCATCAAGTTCTCCAACATCATTAGCCTGAATGTAGCATCTTCACTAGCAATACTCCTTCTACCACCATGGCTGGACCTTCAGGTGGGGCCAGGATACCTAGGTTGCAATGAAGGGTGAAGGGAAAACCACCTGGGTCCTAAACCGATTGCCACCAAGGGTTCAGGATCATGCATCTATCTATATCTGCCTTCACCTGCATTATTATTATTACATGAGTCATCCTCCTAACTGGGCATATCCATTAGCTTCACAATATTCATGTACTGGGAGCAGGAGAGATTTGGCTTTCTGCCCAGATACACAAAAGAGATTTTTTTTTTTTGGATCAAATGCAGGGGGAAAAATCCTTCTTTCCTGTCCAATAAAGTATTTTTATTAAGAACCAACTAAAGAGAACAAATGACCCAAAGAATCCTCATGACCTCCAAATTTAAGGTATCAAAGGTCATATGCCTACTGTAACAAAG